AAGAGCGGAACGGAGAATTATAAAACAGTAATTTTTAATGATATTTATTGATTAAAATGCTTGTATTCAATAGATAAGTTGAAAATATGAACATATTAAAAATAATTACAATGAATTAAGTAAATATAATTTTTAAAAGTGAATACAAATGTCTATTTATCACTATACTTTTCCGCGGAAATTATGTTCCATGTAATATAAGAAGAAACAAATTCGCGGAACGACCGCGTCAAAATCTGTTGTCAATGTGAAGTGTATACCATAAAATTTCGGAGCGGATTGAAAAAGAAAGCTTTCATACTTTTATTCTTTTAAAAGTTGCTGTATAATATGGATCCAAACATCATGTTGATGATTATTATGAAGTATCTCATACGAGCAAGGAATGAACCGATGAGATATGCTGAGATGACAAAAAGAAAAGTTATTTCAATGTTTTATTTATATTTGCATTATAAGAAATTGCAAGACAAAAAGGACAATGCAATGTGGTCTATTTTTATGCAGAGAAGAAGACTTCTACAAGGTGTGCCAGCGAATCTAGTTGTGGAGATGCGATTGACAGATCCGGAAAAATATTTCAACTACCTCAGAATGTCATCAACAACATTTAACGAGTTACTCAATATTGTTGGTTCACTGATTAAAAAACAACATGTAGTTCGAAAACCAATACCAGCCAGAACAAAATTAGAAGTGACTACGATGGTTGGCATCTGGCGACAGCATGACATCGCTGTCATATGTATATACACAGTACTGGACAAAATACGCACTCCAAACATTTTCACATTTATGTAAATAACTCGCCAGTCCTGGCAGATAGCATAATGATGAATGAGGTAAAAGAAAGGTATTTTAGTCTACTTTGCAATAATGATTACAAAAATTTCAAAAACAATTCGAAATCCTTTAATAGTCAAGTCCGTTACATTTATTATCAAATTTGTCATGGACAAAATAAAGTAAGTGAAAAACAAAGTGTAATAAAGACAAAGTTTATAATTAATATTTTGTATGACCACCTTTTGCTTGTATGACGGCTTGCAAACGTCGAGGCATACTTTCGACAAGGTTTTGGATGTGTTGCTGATCGATATTTTTCCATGCTTTCATCAATGCTTCCAACAACTTAATTTTATTCGTTACTTCCCCTTTATCAAGCTTCAGGTCCAAAATCGACCACAAATTTTCAATCGGATTCAGATCTGGCGATTGTGCTGGCCAATCGAGCAGTTTGATCCCAGAAGTACGAAAAAAAGCGGTAGTTTTACGAGCGGTATGTTTGGGATCATTATCTTGTTGAAAAATGAAGTTGTTCTCCAGACCAACCTTTAGCAGAGACTTTTCTAAATTTTCATTGAGAATATCAATGTATACATCTGCTGTCATTATACCGTCGATTTTGACTAGATTTCCCAAACCAGACCACGCAAAACATCCCCACACTGTTATGCTGCCTCCTCCATGTTTGAGTGTTTTTTGGATATTTTTGTCGATAAGTTTTTCGCTAGGCTTTGACCAGACCCGTGGTCACTGTTTATGACCGAAAAGTTCAAATTTGCTTTCGTCACTCCAAAGGACCTTTTTCTAGAAATCCTCTGATTTGTTAACGTATTTTTTTGCAAATTCCAGACGTTTGATTTTATTGGCCTTCCGAATCAAAAGACGATGCACTGCAAAACTGTTTCTAACATAAGTCCAACTTCCCGAAGTCTCCTCCGCACCGTTCGTTCGGAAATATTTAATTGTAGGTTTTCTCGGATAACACAACTAGTAACAGTTGAATTTTTCTTTACTTCCCGTATGATTCTGCGGTCTTCGATTGGATTTGTCTTTTTCTTCTGTCCACGTCCTG